CTTCAATCCAGGGCACCACCACCACCTTCTCCCCCTCCTCTGCAACTTTGGGATCTGCAGGGTGGTTTTCACACTGTTTCTTTCCTCTCACTCCTTTCTCTCTCTCAGCACGGCTTTGCACACCTGCTTCTATTATAGACACATAGGGCAAGTCACCCTGAAATCCAAGTACTGGGTGAAGCAGGAGTTTCCTGCAAAATGATTCCCTCCTCCAAACTCTTCCAGGAGCTGTGTATTGGAAGCAGGCAGCATCTTTGCTAGTGTTCACCAGCCAGAGGAAAAATCCTGACGTGTAAATCAGACTATCCACAGTATAGATGTTGCCTCCTCGCTGCCTTCCTTTCGGCACCTTGCAAACTCCAGTTATGAAATCCTTAATCAATGTGTTCTCAGTCTGCAGTTGCTACTTTTCCCTGTTTCCATGGCTTGAGAGGAAAAGGCTAATTCTAGAAGTATCAGCTACTTATAGCCAGCCTTTGCCCTACTCAGAGGAGGACCAAAGAACTTTCCTCCTTACTTCATACAATGCAGGGAAAACAGCAGCAGCCCTTGCTTTATGGAACATACAAAATGGAAGCAAATAAACATGACAGCACTCTCTATAAAGAATGAGCAATCCCACAGATACCATGTTCTCTCTCACATGTCGTCTGTCCCTGTGTGACAGTTTTCTGGATTCCAGCACATGCCATTTGCTTGGACAAACAACTCCCAAGAGACCTGCCCAGTAATGCAGCAGACTGAAATCACCTAGAGGAGGTGCTATTCATTTTAGAGAAAAAGAGAATTTTGTATTTTATGTGCTTTTATGTGTGTTTATGTGTAATTTTGTACATTATGTGTTTGTAGGACCTGGGAGGACACCTCCAAAATTCCTTAATGACTAAGTAATTTTGTGTCCCAAAGGCAGAAATACTCGCAAAGTGAAAGCCAACCTGCAACACATCATGTAAGGATGTTCAGTAGCACACAGGCTGCCTCCTGGCCTGCCCTGCTGCCTCTGGCCCCCCTTCTTTGCTGTGCAGCAGCTCATTCTGATTATCAGGACATGCTGGGCTGCAGGGACAGACTACTGGCCTATAAAGGTCCCAGCTATAAAACATCTCTTTTTCAGGTACTTCAGCTGAAAGAACTCCTGTCAAGCAGAACTGTGGATTAAACTACACATAAAGCAGATTCCTCTTCATTGGGGGCAGTTAGGGATGACCTCCTGGACATTCTTAAGGACTACTTAAATCACTGCAGTACAACATGGAAAAATACTAAAAAGGTCTTATTCTATGTCTGTCCCTCAGCTTTAGTATATTTTTTTTTAATAGGTTGAGGGAGATTACTTGAAAATGTGGCTATATTATACTATACTGTATAAATACTATACTGTAGCCACATTCTGGAAAACAAATACAGCGCCTTGCAGGATCCAGACACACTGGCCCTGCATCAGCAACCAAATGATAATGCTGTTTTCCATCATCCACTAACAGATTCAGTATTTCAGTAGTTCTTGATACAGATTAATGCCCTACTACATGGTGCATTAAAACTTTGTTTCTCCCAAATATTGGTGTATGTAGCCTACCTTCAATGTAGTCCCTTTGAATTCAGTGATAGTTCTCATTTAGAGACAATAACTTGAGCAGAGGGTGTAGGATCACAGAAATGTAATAGTTGTACATAGCAACATAGTTACTGCTAGAATAAAATAATAGTTTTGAAATTATTTCTTTATTTCAAAGACTTCATGTAAATTGCTGCAGATTACTCAGTAAAAGAGTGACCAAATGATCCATACTTGTGTGGTTAAAACCTAAATGTTTACAACTTGAATTGACCCAGGCCATATTTTTGTTTATATTCCTTTTTCATCCTGTTTAGAGTACACAGGCTTATACAGATCTTTAATACTAAAAACAAATCAAAACTATTTTAGTCTCTAATCTTTCTGATATTTACTGAGGAGGGAACAAGGAATGTGTCTGAAAGGGTCTGGCTGCTAAGAGAGACCAACGCCTCAGCATGGATGGCTGAAGCAGGGTGGTTAAAAACCTGAAACTGGAGAGCCACTGTGGGTTTTTCTTTGTGAGTTTAAATCCTACCATCTATGAAATGGTAGCAATCCCAGCTACTGAAAGTCTCAGGCAGCATTTCCAGGGTTATCTCTTTCTGTAGGGTTAGAACTGCCTTTGGGGGGAGGGGGGTGCAGAATAAGGTGCAGAGGAAAACAAGACTGGTACCTGGGAAAAATAATGTTGTGGGTTTTTTCCTTTTGAAACAAAAGAGCAGTTTTCCCAATGGAGCTTGAAATCTAAACATTTTCCTTAGTTCTTGTTTTGTTCCAATTGGTTCGCTTTTTCTGAGTTCTTAGAACTCTCCCACATTTAATGGGTGACTCTCCTCCAAAGCCAAAAGGAAGCAGATGTAAGGGCTGCAGTCTTAACACACTGTAACACCAGCTGCGAGGATTAAATTGTCATCTTATGTTCAGTGCTGGCAAAAGCTGAGTATGTGACAGAGATGGTGACAGTGGATTGAATGTCTGCGTGGCAGTTACTTTGAATATCACTCGTACCACACACATCAAGCCAGTCGGCACATTAGTGCCTGTGACTGGGATCAGTCTGAGCAGTCATTACGTTGCCTTTCTTCCTTCATCTTGTGTGCTGTCACACATTGCAGCACTCCCTCCTACAAAACAGCATGCCTCCCAAAAGCAGGTTTCAGTTCCACACGCCATGTGGCAGTGGGGATCTGTCTCTCCTTCTTGCTCAAGGACACGGTGCTGGCTTCACAGACAGTATTTGCAGGTGAGACTCAGCCTGGGTGTGAAGCAGGCTGCTCCTAGGCAGAGACCTCTGGCCAACGGCAGGGCTGGTGCAGAGGAGCTCAGACAAGGACCTGGGAGGACACCTCCAAGCCGGGGCAGCACCTGGGGACGTGCTTTGGCTCTTGGCACAGCCCATTATCTGCCAGCACCATCCACGTCAGTTCCAGTTACCTTCAGCCTGTAAATCCCAGCAGCTGAGGAACCAGCACACATTCACTGCTGCTGTCTGTCCTCCGTGGTGGCCATTCCTGGCAGAGAGGCAGCATGGACAGCTGGAGGTGGCAGCTTCTCAAACTACTCTAGCTTGCACTGCCAGGGCTTATCATCTGTGCACACAGAGAACTCCAGCAAAAGTTGTTGCGTGGCTTTACAATTTTGCCTGTGGATGAAGTAGCAAAATCCAGAAAAATTGTGCTGGCATGGTACAGCTCACCAAAAGAACCTAATGTTCCTGCATTAGCTCTTCACCCTTTTTAACACCAACTTATGCTAAGGAGTCCTTAGCTGCTAATAGTTATTCTGTCAAGTCAGGGCTCTAAAGCACACAGACTTTCCCTGCATTTTTGTAAACTTTTCTTACATTCATTTTTTAAGACCACACAGCTCAGATGCTGTCAGAAGGACATTGGATGTTACATGCACCCAAGTGTGATTCAAGCCTGAGAGCTGTAAGGGAGATTTGTTCCAGTCTGCCTCTAGAATTTGCCATCACTCTCCCACCTTTAGAGGAGCGGTTTTTAAGCTGATAGACCAGAGATCAGTGGCACCAGTTTTCTTGATTTCCTTGCCACTTTCTGAAGCTAAACCAGCAGTTGGTACTGGAGTCTTGGCACTCGAGGTCTGTACCTCATTAAGCTGAAATTCGGGTTATGTTATATTCTTTTAAAATGCTCATTTTTGCTGATCCTCTCTCCATTGCCAGAATGAAGCTGATTATTAGTTGCATTTCCATTCTGCATGACACACACTGTGACAGGTAGCAGAAAATACTCATCTGCACATGTTTTATGATTCAAAAACTAGAGGACACCAGTCTGCAGATCCTGCAGCAAAGAAATCAAATGGATTATGTAGTGAGATTATACATCATCATTTCTGTACTGTGCCCTTCCCACAGGTGTGCTCACTGGATTTGGGATTTTTTAATATTATTTGATTCAGTTGATATTCTGTTTAACCTTTTTATTTTTTGACTGAAGCAACAGAAGCAGTTCCTTAATCCTCTCCTTAAACCTTTGCTGGTAGCTACTAAGTGGTGTTATTTATAGCCCAGGCAAGACTGGATGGTTTATAATAATGATGACTCAAGCCTATGCATCTTTATAATTATTGCCAGGACTACTGATGCCATGTTGTAAGGCTTATAAAAAAGTGCTGAGAACCTTTACTGGTTGTTCCTCAGCTTTCTTGTCTTTCCTCTGTCCTGGCCAACTTCAAAGCAATAAACACTTGAACCTTCAGGACTCTGAGAAATCTGGACAGGGCACAAACTTTGCAGCAGTCCCCTCAGCAGAAGCAGTTCACCAAAGTGGAATGCTGAGAGGAGAAAAAAAGAAACTCTCTTGGTTTTCTGGTATTTTTGTTCTTCTTTTGCACTGCTTTGGTAGCAATGAGGCATTCTCTCCACAGACAATTTGGGCCAAGGGGTGTCTGTGTTTGTGCAGAGTCTTGGTAACATTGGGCTGAGTCCTGAAAGTTCAAGGAAGCAGTTTACTGTCCCTGGATTTTGATAGAAAAGCTCAAATGCTTTAAAGTACCAGAGATCCCAAGGCAGAATTTCAGCACAGGTGACGTGGCCTGGCAGCTGGTGGCCCTCTGCACAGGCAATGGCATGTGGATGGACCTGGCTGTTAGAAATGTGTTTGTGGGACATTCCTGACTTTTGGGCATCAGCTGCAGCAAAGGAAAGCAGCTCTGAGAACCAGAGCAGGATTCCCTGGTGCCTTCAGAAATGTTAGGTTGTATTGTTCATACATCCTCGGAATTAAGTGATTTAAGTAGATTTTTTGTGCTAATGAAATTTTCCTCTGACTATAATCTGCAGAAACTGTGGGGGAATTTTGTCTTTGTAGCAAGAGGAAATTCTTCTTCTCCCATGTTCCTGCAGTTTGTTGTAGTTTGTCTGCAAAGACCACCTGGCCTGAGTGGGAGGTCTAGAAAATGAGCAGCCACAATGCACAGAACACATCTTTTATTCAGTAAGCAAGCAAGCACAGAAGTATAATGTGTAGTGCTTAATATTCATACAGTACTAAAAATATAAAAATAGAAATAAAATTTCACTGAAAGCATTTTCACTCACAAATATACAAGGAAAAGTGCTGTCAAGCCACATCATGCTATACCACTTGCCAGTGCTGAACTGACAGTTTCCCAACAGAACTGAAACATTAAAAACTAGTCCTTCCTCATAGTTTTTGGTGAGCCTGAACATTTGACTAGCAAAAAATGGGCCTCCTGCAGCTGAGAACCTAAAAAGCATAGATGACATTACATCATGGAACAATAAAATAATTTGGGAGAGTTCTGTAGTGATAGTAGCCTCCTTCAGGCTGTTTGTGTAGAGACCAAAAAAAGATAAGAGAAATAAACTTGAATCCTGATTATAATCCAGATCAGTCATGGCTAACAATTCCTGGAACGTATTGTGCATGGATATTTGTGCAATACTCCCACCTGCTGGCATATCCATCAACTCTCGTCCTCGGATGCTGCAGTTCCCTTTGCCTGCTTTACACTGGCACAGATCTCCCCCTTAGGTCTGGTGGAGTCCAGGAGAACAACCCATAAGCAGTGCTAAGTGCCCTCAACTTTTAGTGGAACTGGAGCTTTTTCAGCACCTTAACTTTTGGGGCTGCCCTTAAAGGGAGAAATTCACACAGCAAAGTGACATGGGTTGGAGACTGATTTTTCAGGAAAGTCCCTGCACCAGATTCCTGGCTTTTAAGCCCCATTTCGAGGGAGTGACCTAGAGCTAAGGGCTTAAGAATCTTCCATCCGCTGTCCCTGGACATGGAGCTGAACTGCCTCCATCAAGAAGTCAGCTCTGAGCTGTGTCCATAAAGGCATGGCTGGGATTTGGGATCAGGCTGACAATCACAGCTGTAAATCAGAACAAGCCCTGTCTCCGAGAGTGTGCCAGTGCACAGAACCTGCTCAAATCACACAGATAAGGGTGTGCAGAACCTAATGTGAACCCCACTTGGATTAGTTCCTATTTTGGAATGGGATTTATTTATACTTGGCTATACCTGCTATAAAAATAAATGTGACAATTAACCCCTGAGATCATTCTAGCATACTGTTTTGGCCTGTTACTTGTTTCCCTCAGAAATAAATTTTTATTTGGTTTACGGATGTTCATTTCGGTTCTAGTGACAAGCTTTTATAAAACACATTAAATAACCAATGTGGGGCTGAAAAAGTGTACATTCTAGTTGCATATATTATACATACCTTATACCTATATAATACATTCCATAACAGCTGAATGTTCTAGTATTGTCTGAGAAGTTCTTGCATGTGGACAAAGGACTTAAATACTAGAAGATAAACAGCTGTTCAGGATCAAAGATAATTGCATCTGATATGGTTTACTTAGATTGTTTTTCTTTCTTTAAATCTTATTACACATAATAGCTACAGTAGTTTGTCCAGCAGGTAATAAATGAATGCATAAAGCACTTCTAGCCATATCTGGATATCATATGCATGCATTTTTTATAAATAAAAATCGAATGTGAGGTCACATTTTCCCATCTTCTGTTTATAAACTAAATCAAATTTCTCATTCATTGAAACAGTGAAGATATCTTTCCATAGCCCAACTCGTCCTGAAACACAGAGAAAGAATACAGGTCAGAGAGTGGATGTAACAGGACACCAAATACCTACAGTCTAATTGTGCTGGGCACCAAGTACCAGCTGTGAGATTCTGATCAGTCTGGGCTTTCTCTGAAAGCTTAATGAGACCTAAAGCTGTTCATTGTCTCACCCAGTTATTCTGGCACTACGCTTGCAAAGCCTTCAAATAAAACACATCTTCAGCTGCACCAGCCCAGTGTCACACAGGAAGAATTCATATTTCTCTGAGACATTACTCTGGCCTTAATCAGAAATGAACAGAGATTTTGGGTTGGGTGCTCACTTAAATGCAGATTTCTTCTTTCAGTGCAAGCTATGGCTGTTTAAGAATTCCAACAGCTAAGAACACATTACAAAATCACCATGCCTCATGCACCTACTGCTTAGAGAACTATCCAAAAGGCACAGAGAATGTGGGGTATAAAACTGACTATTGGAGTATAATAGTTTCATTACTAATTTCTATTATTTTGTGTCTAGAGATGTCTAACAGATGAATTTCCATTTCTCAACATGGAGATATTTGTTTGTTAAATACAAATTTCCATCTATGAAAGAGAACAAGTGCCATGTACTCAAGTTGAGCCACTGACACTTTAATTTTGAACAGGAGGAACAGCTTTTGGGGGACCCAATATCGACACTGAGCACCTTCCTCATATGAATTAACCTATGGAACCCAACCAATGACATAACATAACCTGGTGACCCTGCTGAACCTACCAGCCAAAGGCAGGAGCCCCCCTAACAACTGTTTCAATGCAGCCCAAAATATATTTAACTCAAAGTCAGCCAGGGTTACTTGTGGCTGAAAAAGCTCCATGGAATAACCATATTGAGAAGCCCAATTCTCTTCTCCTTTATGCTGGAGATAAAGACAAAATCCAGACTTGTTCAACTGGAATAAATGAAAGGAGAATTGGGACTGTGCTACCAGAGTTTCATCATAACAGCAAGGACAAAGCTACATGCAGGGAGCTTAATTATGCATTTGATGCATAAGAAGAATACCCATTTAATTCAATTACCATTGCTTTTATGCAGAAACTATATAATTGAGACCAAAGACAAAACTGTCTGAAACATCTACATATTACTTATTAATCTGACGGTATACACGTGTGGCAAGGGCCATTTTATGAAAGCAGGGCTTTTGTATAAATCCTGAAGGTATGAAAGGGTCCTGATTTCTTTTCAGGATCCAAAGACCAGAATAACCTGACACTGAAAATGCCATTTATAGTTTTCAACGAACTTCTCACATATTTTTAAAAGAATAAATTAAGAAAACACAATCATAAATACCTGATACTAACTTAAATCTTGCTCTGGCAACTATAACAGCAAAAAGTACAGCATAAAACACAAAACCCTGTATTTCCCATTCAATAATGATAATAAAGTATTTTCTTCCTCTGCTTGGCAAAAAAAAAATCCTTTAATTTCTGAGTCTCCCTAAAAACATGTATGGACAAATGACAAGTTCTACAAATGACATACATACACAGTGGATTGTTTTTAATAATTCTTTTCTTTTTTTACTATATCAATTGATAGCTTGTCAAAAAGTCACCCACCTGGTTTATGATTTGAATCATGCAACTGCGTAAATTATGATGTGATAAGAGTCAAATACAAGTAACATATCTAATCATTGTTCTGCTTTCACAGCAGTTCAGGGTTATCTTCAGAGTAAAGATCAATGTGCTAAAAGAAAAAAAATATGAAGAACTAAAATAAAGCAAAATAATAAATTAAATGTAACTAATGACAAATTAAAATATTTGAAACAAATTACAATCAGCTTTCATGTCATTGCCACCATTCTTTGTCACAGAAACGAACAGAGAAAGAACAAAGCACTGCTAATGAAGCTACATTCTGGAGTAACAAAATATTGTAAAAGCCAAAGACAGCAAAGAAAAGAAATTCAAAATAAGGATATTTATACTAAAAAGCACACAGTGAACAAATGACAAAGCATCACATTAAGTGCTGCAGCTCCCTTCTTTCTCTATTACAACATGAGGGCCTTTTTCTGAAACATATGTAGACAGTCAAAATAAGAGGCTACATGTGGACCAACAAGTAGAACACAACCCTGCTGTTTGCAAAGCCTTGCATCCACATGAGCACCTTATCCAAGGACTTGGGGATGTCCCAACCAAATGTGTGATAATTGAATAAATAACCAGCTAACACAGAATAAGTAGTCAAGAGGAGCTGGTAATATTTGGCATTTTCATCAGAGATTTGAAAATAAAAATAAAAATTGCAGCTGGTATAATTTGCAGATCACAGGAAGGCTGGCTGAAAGTGGTAATATGGAAAGGGCTTCTATACACAGAAGACGACCAAGGTATTCCTGTCATAACCCCTGAGTAAGGGACAATAACCTTCAAATTGCTTCCTCTGAGAAACTTTGTGGTGATGATAAACATGTGCTTCATGTGTGATGCTGTATCATAAAGTGCTACCACTGCTATGGGTGGAAAACAAGGGAAAGGTCCAAGTAGAAGTGGATAAAATTAGTGTATGAAGTGATTTTAGGTTAGGGTAAGGCATATGTAGGGGTAACATATGAACTGACCATCTTGACTTGGTTGCCTCATTTTTAAAAGTGATGTAGAGCAGACCACAGAAAATAATCTGAGGGAGCCTAAGTTCACTCTTATGTTTTTCAAAGGCAACTGAAAGGACTTGATTTCTTATCAAAGGACAGATGTATTAAAAGATCACATGGCACCTTCAGGTTCTTAGAGAAAGAATCTCACCAGAATAAACATCTGGAAGATAAACACATTTTAAACAGCTGAGGTAAGAAATGAAAATAAAAAGCTTATAAGGGACACTGTGGTTCCTTGTAATTTTATGCCTTCCAAATAAGAAATATCTGCTATTCTTGAAAATACTGATCTAATTAAACCCTAGGGCTCAGGCCAGGACAAACTGTGTAAGATGGTGTGGGCTCTGGCATGCCAGAGGTCAGAAGGAGCAGAGCAGAGCTCTCAGCACAAGGAGCTGAATCCATCAAAGTGAGACAAACTCTCTGATGGAGTGGTTTGACATTACCCTGTTTATCTTGGATTCTTCTTTTCAGTCACTTCTACCTAACCTGATTTCAAAACAGCCCAGCCCCTCAATTGCACCAACAATCAGCTCCCTCCCATCCTTTACATGGCAATATTTTGCCAACATCTAACACACCCTGGGAGTTACTGCCAACTTCTCCAAGGAGAGTTTTGCTGTGGGTTTTAAACATACCCCTGCCAACAGGAAGAGCCTCTGCATTACAGCACTGATCAATGAGTTGATGGCAGTGTTCCACCATGGATTCCAGCTGTGCTTTGTCATAAGAAACTCCTAAGAACCTCACCAGCTGCTCAACCATTGTCGCTAGGTCCTGCAAGAGACCATTTAAAACCTGGGTTATTTCACAATAATTAAAATCACATTTTTAAGGAGTTTAAATATTGCAAAGTAAGTTATACCCTGGTGAGTGTGAAAAATACAAGTGCAGAAGTTGCAGAAACACTACTGCATTGAAGTTTTGCCACCTTCCAATTTGCTGAAAAGAAACACATTCTGAACAATTAGAGTAAGACAGGCTGGCAGAAAGCATGGTCATGTAACCTTCAGATGTTGGAACAGGGAACAACTGAAAAGCAATTGTGATGCTTCCCACTTCAGGGAACACCCCACCCTGATCCCTTTGGAATACCAGTGCATTTCAGAGGATTTAAGAGTTACTTTGATTTTGACCTTAATCAAATAAATTACTAAAAATGTTAGGAGAGCCCTTCTTCCTTTGTCAGCTTCTGGGACTACATTCATGTAGATGGGAAGGATCTGGGGAGGTGGCCTCTGAGAATAACCATTAATTTACATCTCCAGAGTTCCAGGGTTCCTCAGTATGAGTTGAAAGGACAAAATAGTAATATTTACCAGGAAGCAGAAGGATGCTGTGATGCCACCATCTGGTGAGCACAGCTAGGAATCCATTAGTTATTCAAAACCATGGAATTGAAATTATTTTGACTAAACTTTATTTACTCTGATTGTATTACACCTTTTTTTAGAATCCCACTCCATCAGAAGGCTCAGTAAAGCTGGAATTTTAATTTACCCAGCTTTACTGAGTCTTGTCCTGACTTCTTACAGATTTAGAAACAGCACCTGGGTTTTGCCTATGTTTGCATTAGCTGTCCAGTCAAATAAACATTCTGAAGTATTTTCATTAGCTGTCAAAAACATACTACTGCAACAAGAAATACATAGTATTTCCACTAGATTTCTGATATAAGTGGGTTTATTAGCCAGCATACTGTAAGGACTCAATAATTATATCTACCTTATGCTGCATGATCATACCTTCATTGTTTTCAGATTTGGTTCACAGAAATCAGTAAGAACAACTAAATAATTCCAATAAATGCCAAATACAGAGGACAAAACAGTGATTATATATTTTTTCCCTCATTGATACGGCACATAGAGCAAGACATTTATTTTAAAAGAATGCCCAGGGCTGAGTGTAGCAAGTACTGAACAGTTTCACATCACTGCCTTCCCTGCAAGTGGTTCAGTGCCTATACATGCAGGCAGATTCCCCAGTAAATTAATATGGATATGAAAATGCCTAAAGTCCATAGAAACTACTGAATTTTTAAAGCCAGTGCTTTAAAAATTGTATCAGGCATTAGGGATCCCAAATATGGACATAAGAATGTAATTTTGTGCTTTATGTATTAAAAACTAGGATACTAAATGTGATAAAAACACCATTTTGCTACATCTAACCTACCTTATGCATATCTTCATACTTGAGAAAAAGTACATTGGCATCCATATGGTGTTCCCAAAACTCTTGCACATGTTCAAACCAGGAACCATACCCTACTGCAAAAACATTATGATTGGCATGAGGAAAATGAACACTATGGTTATTAAGCTGTTTTCAGAAATAAATAAAAAAAAAAGAAATAACTGGAGTGGTTCATAGCCCCAGGAGAGCAGTGTCTTATTTTGACCCATGTAATGGGAGACCTAACCCTCCCCCCAAAACTTTACTCATTTGTTTTCCAGTTCTCTGATTAAGTCCACATTTGCACTGATTTCAGTCAATTTATGTGTCTCTACCAGAGGTTCAGCCACTGGTGCTTGGTATTTACAACCTCAAGAATCTCTTTTGTTGCCAGTATTACAAGGCAACCCCTTGAGAAATGCATTCTACATTTTTCTCTGCTACCAGTGACTAAATTTCCTGTGCATTACAAACCTCCCATTTGTACAGTTATGGCCATGGAACATGTTGTGATGTTTTACTGGCTCTGGGAGGTCGTGATAAAGTCAGGTGGCTGCTACAAGATAAAGAGACAAATAACTCTTGGGATATTTCCATGGAAAAGAGCACCCAACCTTTCTATCTTAGAAGACCTTCTAACATGTCTTTCTTATGTCTCTGGTCTTGAAGTTCCTGATCAGAAGCTACAGGCAAACATTGCATTCCCAGGGAATGCAAATGAAAAACTGAAGGTGGGCTGGAGTGGGAGGAGAGCATTAATCCTGCTCAAGCTTGCAGGATAAGGAGCAGCAAAGGGGTTTTTAGGCCTGTTAAATCACCTCCCATTGGTAGGTTTTACTTTTTTCTTCCCTTTGGTATTACACAGCTCCTTCAGCATCAGCTCCCCTAAATTCCAGGTTTGCTGCTCTGGATCTAGAGGAGGTCCTGCTCTCAGAGCTCAAGGTACCTGGTGAATTCTCAGTGTCACATTAAGGTATCAGAGGAGATATTGCAGAGAAATAAAATGCAGCAGGACTTTTTTCTCTTCCTTAGCTAGAGTGTGGCAGTCGCTTGGTTATTATTCTCCTCACAGAGCTGCATTTTTCAGGCAGCAGCAGACTGCTCATGAAGTCTCACTCGAGCTCACTGGTGCAGGCCGAGATAAGGCCCATGCAAACTAGAGAATTTTGTATTAATTTCCAAGGTATGAGCCTTGAATTTTTGGCTGAAATTTAAATATTAAGGGAATTACTAGGAAAATAACCCCAAACCTGAGGACCAGAAACACTCCTGAGAAGTAGCTGATAGTGAGGCATAACTGAAATCAAATGATGCTGGGAGTATTCACCCCTTTTTAGGAGGTACCTGGCAGCCTGAAAACTGAATTTCAGAAGAGTACACCAGAGTTTTGCTCTGGTTTTGGTGGCAAAGTGCTGAACCCAGGGGGTCAAACACTGTAAGGCAAATATTTACAAAAAGCCTGGCTCATAGTTTGCATGGACAAATCTCAATCCCCACAGAGCTATCCGTAGCAACCTCCTTGCTGTATATGCAAAACAAATGCACCTTTATCCAGTTCACTTCTGTACTTGCAGAAGGAACGCAGAGATGAAAATAAATGTGTGCAGAGAGAACAGCTCCTTACACTTGTCATTCATAAACCTTCTGCAGAACTCCTGAAACGTTCCTCTGTAGCTCATGGTCCTTAGGGAGCGGTGGAACTGGTAATAAGACACCACCAGGTCTTTGGGATTTCGAGCCATGTATATTACCTGTGATGGGGGGAAAATCATCTTGTTGAAAGCTTTTTCCTCATCCCAAAGCACTGACACAACTGCTGCCAGCAGAGTTAAGACAAACACAAGCTCATTTTCACCTTTGAGTTTCCGTTGTGGAGGTCCGAAGGCAAAAACCGATAGGGCAGGTGGCTTTTGATGAGGCGAGGGGATGTCAGCTCCTAAAATAAAGCAGGGAGAATTGTTTCCCATTGACCACTGCTTCAGGGAACATCGTGAACTGGCCTGAGCTGGCACACTTGAGGCCCTCTACTACACTGACTTCCATTCACAAATTCACTTCCTAAAATTAACATGAGTTTGCGACTCAAAATCAGGTCAGAGAATTACATCTGGTTCTTAAATACCAAAAGGTTGGATAATGTGTTGGGGGTTCTGTCATATTGGGGTTTTATCCCTTTTGTTTCAAAGCATATCCATTTGCAGGGCCTTCTCAGAAAGAGATATAACCATTGAAGATTCTCAATGTCAAACTCACTTTATTTCCAGTGATGCCCCCACTAAAAATACCTGAAAAATACTAGAAGTTCTGAAAACATGACCCCTGACTTCTTCCAAATTTTACCCTTGCATTTTATTTTATCCTCAGAATTAGGCCCAAATCTGAATGTGTGAACATCTTTCAAACAATATTTTTTCTGTAATTTGATACAAAATTGTCTCATGACAGAAATCATGGTCTGCTATTAAAAATGGAATAAATCCATATTGAATCAAGCTGCTAGCACATAGATAAGAATGTGTAATCTCAAACTAAACCTCTTACTATTGCCACCACTTTTCTGCAGCAGGGTAGCACTGAAGCCTTGCTGGATTAGGCATCACAGATGAAAAAGAAGAGCAATCTCTGACCTCTAAATATTCTCACCCTAAAGTAGGCTGAAGCATGCCGTTGTCATTGACCACAAGCAGCTTAATTCTATCCCTGCCAGCCTCAGCTTGCTCAGTCCAAGCAGCACTGCAGCTGTTACAGGATGGCCCTGTATAGTTATCCTAATAATTCCAAGACGTGCCTCTGTCAGAAGTGCTGCAGCAAGGACAAGATCACACTTATGTGCCATACAGCTGGACTTCAAGGGATTCTTGATACTGTGGAATTTCATGCAGGATATTCCAGACCCTTCAAACTACACCCTACAGTGTCTGTAGAGAGCCAGGATCTGTGGATCTAAAGACTGAGATGTGTAAAGTCAGAGCAATGGGAATACAGATGCATGGATAGCTGCATTTCTAGTTACTCTTTCACAAATTCAGGGAAGGAATCAAAGCAAATTTGCCTCATTTGGCCAGCTCCCGTTTACATAAGCAGGAGAGGCCTGGAACTTTGACTCCCACTGCCAAGATACTTAGGACATGGAGACACATTTAAAGTATTAAACAGAACACAATGAAGCTTATTAAAAGCAATTTAAAATGACCTATTAGCACTTTGAATCATTGCAACATTCTAAACAAGTCCAGCGACGAGAAGGACACAGGGTGAAATGAAGTGATAAACATGGAACTGAGGAAAAAGACACCCAAATGCTGAAGACTTTCTTTGCAATAAATTGTACCTTGATGATGTCCAGACCGGGCTGAGGGTACTCTAGGACTGGAAGCTGCTCATCTATATTCATTAGTCCAATCTCATCTGGATCAGCTCCCTGACTCACTAGATACACCACTTCCTGCAGCAAGCCTGTGCCTGCACAAACCAAACAATGAGAGAGAACAGATTGTATTACAGTTCTTATCTAAACACAGCCATATGAAGGGAGACCTAAACAGAGAAATAATGGCAACTTTTGTCCTCAACAGTCTGCTGTGAGCTAAGTCTATTACTACTGTTTTATTGTAGTATGTCAGCTCTCTTGGTTTTTTAAATACATGTAGATCTTCCATGCAAAAGACCTGAGATTTTTTTTCTTCAGTAACAATTTAAATACACTTCTGTTTCCAAATCACTTAACCTGTGAATTGCAAAGCATTTAACAAAAGGTTTTACCTCTGTAAATGTTACTTTGGCAAAACACTACTATTTCCATTTTAGGAACTAAAAAATGAGGCGAACAGAGGTCATCCAAGTTCACAAAATGCATTAGTGGCTGTGCTGAGAGACCTTTATTCTAAATTGAAGGCAAGGTCCCAGTTATGCAATGACTTGAGAGCCTATTTATGCCTCCGGGTTATGGAGTGGATAAAGCCCCAAATACATCCATACATCAGTCACAAGCTTTAGAAACCTCAATTATGCACCTCTCCCCACTCTGAGGACATTTACAAAGCACCCATTAGATATCATGGCCAGTGACTGCACTTTGGAAAATTAATAGGTGCTTCAATTAGGGCTTTGGACAGGGAAACTATTCAAAATTACTTTACCTTCAGGCAGGTAGGGAACCCTCAAAACAGAGATATTTGACAGAGGGTTATGAAGAGAAAGGCTCTTGGTGAGATGGAGGAACAGAATGGGGAGAGATCACAATCAGCCAGGGGAGGGACCCCACAGTTCAGAAGAAAAGATCCCAAGAGTGTGGGACACCCTGGAAACTGCAAAAGACAGACCCATTATTTAACCCATTATTAATTATTTACTGTGAGCAGTAAGGGAAATGAGACCAGGATTTATCCACTCTCTCGTGTTGCCTAAAGGAACAAGTAATGGTTCCAGAACTGGTTACAAAGCCCAAGCCTGCTCCTGCATCCCAGCCTGTGGAATGGTGAACTGTAAACTCTGAGATCAAAGACCATTTGAAAATAATTTGTGAGTTGCAAGTCACTTGTAACAGTCACTAGTTAATTCATGTTAACTAACAAGACTGTACACACAAACAGGCCCCTTTGTACCAATCATGTATGTTGTTCCAATTAAAAAAAAAAAAACCAAAAAAAAAAAAAAAAAAAAAACCAAAAACCACCACCAAAATACAAGACCTAAAACCCTAATAGAATTTTTTATTATATTAAAAAATAATGTCTGTTTACTTTTTAATCCGAGAAAGAAACAGTTAAGTGAGGCCAATGGTTGGAGTGAACACAGCCTGGATACAATGTGAAAGAAGACACACCTCCAAGAACAGTCTTGGATAGCAAGCACTTCAAGATTCCACTGTTCACTTACTGATTGATGGGTAAATTAAAAAGGATTGGGACATGAAAAAAAAAAAAAAAAAGGCACTTTTATATTATCATCACCCACAGAGACAGTTGTCACGCACTTAATACACACTTGCCCCCAAGGCTGTTCACTCTGCATTTTTAAGTTCAAGCATATATTTTATGCATTCAAATCAACATTCATACAGTACTTTAGTATCAGTCCTTGTGACTCTGAATGAGCGCAACCCTTGTTCTCATTAAATATTTATTCTGACCGGAAACACCCTGGTTCTCCATAATTTATTTCAGTATTTCCTATTCCACCTGCAAAGAGAAATGCTGTCACAGCAGCCCTATTTTCATGAAATGAAAAGAATTAACTCTGTGGGGATACACAATAAACTATTTTTTCATTGCTCAGCTGCTCCATAGGCAGAAAGCTGCCATCTCTATTGTGCCTCTGAACACAGAAAGGCTTTAGGGTTGAGGCAGAACCACACTGAACCTTTGGGAGAGCAGCACCAGCTCTCCACAAAGTCCACCAGAAAAGTAAAAAGTCAGGACAGGAAGCACAGCCCCCATGGGGAGCACCCCCTTACCTGGTTATGCCCAGAGACCTGTGAATGTGCACCAGACTTGGCTTGATTGCTGTCAAATCCATGGAGAACTGCAGAGGTGGGAAATTACGTATTTCCCATCCAAAGTGGGGGTTTTGGAAGCTCAAAAGTCTCCATCTAAAGGAGTTTCCACCAAAACCGGTGACACGCTGAAAGAGAAATGCTGGGACTATCCAGTAGGCTGGAATTTCTCCTCCCTACACCTGCAGGACGATCACTCATCTCAGTTTCTCTCAGCCATGATCTCTGTGCTAGTTTTCTCTTTTGCTAGTCACTGTATTTTTTCCCTGATTTTTTTTTAGCCTGATTTTTTTTTCCCACATTAGCACTCCAGTTACTATGCTTCAGAATTTCAGGGTCTTAATGCAAATGAAAACGAGGAAATTAACTTTTGGGGGAACTGTGATTTTTTTTCTACTTGTCACCCTTAATCAATTATTATTTACCACACACAAAAATTCCAAAAGCTCCAGGTAAAAAATTTATCATTGATTTGGTTTCCTGTTTAAAAGAACAAATTAAAATATCACAAGCCTAATGTTTTAAAAAGAAAAAAAATCTAAAAGCTTTTATAAATATAATTAGATAGATATGACCTCCTCACATCTCTGCTAAGATCAAAACCCACTCAAATTAAATGTATCAGAGCTAAATATTCTTTTGGTTTAGGAAGGATGACTTAAGCTAGCAACAGGCAGCCCAAATTCCAGACCTGGCTGCTAGGGCAACATCTTCAACCCTGGGAACACCAGCTGGCTGAAAAGCCAAATAAGGTGGGATACCTTACCCATTTGACCCAAATGATTTAGTGATCTCTGTGGAGATTTGCAAGAACCATCATTTTATGGATGGAAAGTAGAGTAAATTTCTGAAACTGAGAATATCAATGGAGATTATGTGAATAATGCCAGCAATCCCAGTCTATCACAAAGCCTGGCCAGATTTAAATGTCACAATGACTTTCTAAAAAAGGGAAAATTATGACACCTGTTGGACAGAAGAAAAAGGTGAGGCAAGCGAGAAGAGAAGAGAAGAGAAGAGAAGAGAAGAGAAGAGAAGAGAAGAGAAGAGAAGAGAAGAGAAGAGAAGAGAAGAGAAGAGAAGAGAAGAGAANAAGAGAAGAGAAGAGAAGAGAAGAGAAGAGAAGAGAAGAGAAGAGAAGAGAAGAGAAGAGAAGAGAAGAGAAGAGAAGAGAAGAGAAGAGGTGTGCCCCTACATTTCTGGCTCTGCCAAGGCAATGGATATTGTGCATCTCCAGTATCTTCACTGCTTCCTCCCTGTGCTGCTGAACACCTGCACATGTACATGCACACCTCACTTAGGATGGTACAGAAGGATAAACACAATAGGATAATCACTGAAAAACAGGATTAACTGCCAGCCTTTGGACATGGGGCACTGAATGCCACATTAATAAGTTCCCAGCAATTCTACCCTTTCTTCTTCCATCTGCAACATTTCATTCAGGAGGAAGACTGCTTACCCTGCTACCTCTAAGGTCATATTGCCAAAACAGACATGGAATTCATGAACACTTATCCAATTCCAGCAAAAATGGAGGCAGTCTGCATCTGAGGAACTTCAGTGCAAAGCACCTGAGAAATGCTCTTCCTAACAAGCTCCTCTGCTATGTCAATAAAACATCTCAGGAGAACAGTGTTCCAGTTTATCACACAATATCTGGAAAGAGAGGGGGTGGGAAACAGATGTGAGAAGCTACTACCTGCCAGAATCTGCAGGTGCATTTAGGAGACCTTTTAAAATGATCTGTGAGCCTGTATTTCTATACCCTGCATAACAGGAGTCTGCTGGTGGGGATGCACTGTGCTTTCCTGGGCTACTTAATGATGCACAGGAACCAGGACTCATTACAAATCCCACCACACGCCAGCAGTCCCTGTGACTGGGAACTCCTCCTTGGTGCCCTTTCCATGGCCAGTGCCTCAGCAGCAGGAGCAGAGTCACACCAGGGCCACTCTGCCTCTGCTCCTAGGGAACTGCTGCAGCAGCAGCCAGGCAGCACAGGGGGACAGACATGGCTGGGAAACACACAGCTGCTCCTCCTGCCTTCTGTGTGTTACATGTCTTCAATGTCAAATTTAGTCACTGTGGAAGGGAGAAATGTTCTCTAGTGCAGATGTTCTCTGGCTTCTCTCAACTCTTTCTGGCCACTGGCACTCCTATGAAGTCACCAGGTATCATAGATGTGTTCAAAGTGAAGTGGCAGATATAAAACCGTAAGATTTCCAGTGAAATTTCACTTCTCTATATGGTTCCTAAGGTAGTTTCTTTCAGTTTCTCCTCTCTTATCAGCTAAGACAGGACAAAGCTGCAGCCTAAGGATGCAAAGGCCTCGGTATATTCCCTTTATTAGTTCCTTGTATGGAACCACATGGAAAATTAAAATAAAGAAATACTACTGTTAGTAATCTTAGAACCCCAATTATCTGTACTTTGTTTGATCTGCCAGAGCTTGACCAAATTTTGGCTAATCCAGTGCAGCAGATCCATTATGACTCATAACTTTTTTATAGCATTGGTAGATGCAAGTGCTCATTAAAAGTGAGGGCTGCCAAAGCTGCCAGACTGGTCTGTAAGTGCTGTACAGCAGAGCCTCACACTGTTGTTCTAATTGTCTGCAAGCTCATTCCTCCTTGGCCAGTTGCAGTGTAAATCTTCAGGTCAGTATGACAGATTCATCCTCACCCTACAATATTGCAGGGAAAATTAGATTTTCCATTAGAAGAAAAAAAAAAAACTTCCAAAACAATAAAGTATCTCCTCCTGAGGTCTACGTGCTGAAGTTCTCCTACAAATTCGAATTCCACCTGGCTTACGAATAGGGGTTTTCATTAATGACTAGCATTTTAAAAATAAAAATAATGTATATACCTTGATACCATATTTTCTAATTCTTCTGTTTTCCTAAATGAGACTGGGGATTCAGAATAAAGACTGAAATTGTGATGTTATATTGCCACACTATTTCTTTTGACTGACCAATTAAATATTTATCAGAGGGCCCAATTTTGAGAAAGGACTGATTACTCATCCTTTAAGACTAATGCCCCTCTTATATGGCCTAAATGCCACATAGTCAATAGGTAACCGTCAAGGGAGTCTGTGGGACACAACAAGCCTGAATTCAAACCTTCTGAAAGTAAAGGGGACAATTTAAGTAAGACTGGATTTAAAAGAAGTGTTAAACACACAACTTCCAGCAACATTCAGTAAGCACAGTATTAGATTTTTAGATTTCATAATCATTTATTTTTCTTCTTGCAGCTACCAGCTTTTGAACCAAAACCAACGGGCTAAATTCTGCAGACATGGGTCCATTAATTCTGAGTTGTGTTTTGAGTATGTTTTACCAGAGGCTATAAACAGCACACTATGAAACCCCATTCTATTTAGGAGGAAAACCTACTTTCTGTTTGCTAAAAATGCTGTCACCAAACTGTTTACACACACATATTATGCACAGAATTATTGCTATTATGTCCAATACAGTATCCTAAAGCACTGCTTTAATGAACTGGTTACAAAGCAGAGCTATTTTTGGCTAATGCATTAGTACTATTTTTTTTAAGTGGCCTGAGTCGTGATTCTCCCTTACATTAGCACACTAACTACTCAACAGAGGACGGGATGAGAAGTGCACATCAACTACAGAGCGTCTGGGCCCT